ATTTTCATGACTCAAAAACAAATTCAGTCATGTTGCTCTTTTAGCCGACAGTGTGCAATGGCTCATCTGTTGTGGCCGCCTGACAGATGATCTGCTTATCGGCTTTACTGTAAGGTGCCAGGCCGCCTGGATAAATTTGCGGTGTGCTCTGCCACTCTCTCCTGCTCCCTCCGACTTGACCCTTAAGGTTAATCTGAACTGGTTCCGAACCAGTTGTGGGGGCACGTCGAACCGTCCACACACACGCGCATGCATATTTGACTTGATACTCTCTGTGTGGCCTCCTACACCAACCGCCACTCTCATTGTATTGCCAGAATCTGACTGAAGAGAAGAACGGACTTGATGATGAACAAATAATAACCGATCGTGGCATGCTGCATGATCACACTGTGGGAAAACTGACATCATGGCTCAGTTTGCCACAAGTCACTTGACCAAACCACAACTGCTATATTGTTTACAGCATAGCTTGCAACCAATAATACTATAATGATTGTCAATGTAAGATTAATTTGTTTTGGTCCATTGCGAGAGTCCAGTTGTGGTTTAGATAATTTAGATCTGTTCTACTTCAGACGTGATCAGAATTTTGACCAGCAGCAGGTCTAAATGTCTATGTCTGACGCGATGCGAGTTACTTGTACTTGTGTCATTAAAAACAATGTTTAAAAGTATGCAGCGGTTCGACATGTCTTTTGCAGAGACCATGCAAAGCCACATCTAAAGACTTGAACCGAGGCTTGGTCCTCAACTCACCCCAAGAAGATTGCGTTGATACACTCTGAAATGCAAAATGGCAACATTCCTTCATATTGTCGTTCTACTTGTTCTACATATAATGTTCGACTCTGCAAAAAAAATGTTGGCGTGAAATAGTGAGTGAATCAAATATCACAGATTATTTTACAAATTCGGAAAACAAGATATTGAATTTATTTGACATGACTGCTCATGGTTATTTCGCTTTGGGAGAGCAGGCAACATTAAACAACTATTCAGAATAAACTCAATTTTTAAGATAGCAAATAAAGATAAGATAAGAAAAGCTTTATTTGTCTCACAATGGAAAAATTCCCAATTTACAACAGCAAAATTATGAAAGGGAGAAAGTAGAAGACAAAAAGTATAAAAATAAATACAAATATAAAATATAAATATCTATAAAAGCATATTAAAAATGGGTGAGTGGGGGTGAGTCACAGAAGAATAATGAAAGATCATCGAATGGTAAATGCCAATTTGCTTTACATGCCAGTTTAGAGCTTAGTTACAGGAAGACACAAATTATTTTAAGCGTTGCTATTTACTAAATGTTTGTAAATATGTCAAGAGAAGACGCGCTCATCTTGGGGCCAATGACGGAGGGATGCATGGATGGATGGATTATCATTTCAGAGACATCTTTTACTGCATTGGTGTTTTGAATGTAATTTCTGGTCAACAGTAAACTACGTAAGCCGTTTAGTTTCTATATATGGTCAATGAACCAGTGAAGTGAACATCTGTAAAACACATTTACCGCTATTGTGCATCATATGCATGAAGCAGGATCTCGTCCCGCCTGCATTTGACGGACCGCACGGCCCTCCGCCCTATCAGTGGTGTATGCCTGACGTTGGCCCACTCAGATAGGAATCAGCTGCAGAGCAATTGGGCCTTATCAGTTTCCTTTTTCTTCATCAAGTTCCTTTCTCAGCTGATGAGTGATGGGCAGGTTTATGTGTTTGAAGGTAGCTATTGTTTTGTGCATATAAATATGACGGGGAATAACATCTTTAGGGGTTTAGCGCAGGGGTCGCCAACACAGTGCCTGCGGTCACCATGTAGCCGTCAAGGACCACTTGAGTAGCCCGGGGGGGCCTATTCTAAAAATAACTCACTAGTAACCGGGGCTGTGACTGTCTTGGAATGTTGTAGCATACAAGTGATCTTTTCGAAACGTGAACACTGGCAGATCCATCCATGATCCAAGCTGTTCGTTCTTATGAGGTTCACGGGACATGCTGGAGCCGATCCCAGCTGTCTTCGGGCAGTAGGCGGGGTATACCCTGAACTTGTTGCCAACCAATCGCAGGGCACACATGTAGACAAACAACCATCCACACTCACAATCACACCTAGGGGCAATTTAGAGAGTTCCATTAACCTGCCACACATGTTTTTGGAATGTTGGAGGAAATCGGAGTACCCGGAGAAAACCCACGCGGGCACGCAGAGAACATGCAAACTCCACACAGGAAGGCCAGAGCCAGAATCGAACCCTGCACCTCTACACTGTGAGGCCGGCGTGCTAATCAGTCAACCACCGACCAGCCCGCCCCGTAGAAAGGTAGTTTGAGCAAATTTGTTATTTCCAAAATATGAACTATCAAACTGGCATTAATTAGTAGCCAAGAAGTAGCTCTCAGTTTCGAAAAGATTGGTGAGCCTTGGTCTAGAGTGTAAGCTAAGGGCATGTTTCTTTGTTTTTGTGTGTTACGATTTACGATTAACAGTTCGTTTACTCAGTTATCACGATTTGGAAAGTGATGTGTGTCATGTGTGAGAATGTTAGCTGTAATCGCAGATGTTATTTTTCATTCTTTACATGCATGAAGATAAATTCATTTTAGTCAAGTGTTGAAATGTGGTTTTCCCTTCTCTCACTTAAACAGGAAAAAGTGATAGAGGATTCCTCTCAAGATTTGTGCTTTCGCCATTTGGTCGAGATTTTCTTTGCTATAATACCAAATACAATTATTGACCTTTTCTTTTATCTGGGCTATGTGGTCATGACATTTGAGCGTAACGGACCAAAATACTCTCCTAAAAATACTTGTTGACTCGTTTACGGTTACTTCACAAGAACCGTTCCACTCTTTTCTCATTCAAACAAACATGCTACTTGAAAAAAGGCTTCTTGGGAATTCCCAAAGGAAAATCATTCATAGAGCCAGAAATGAAAAAAAAAAAAGAAGCTTTAAACTGGAAATGAAACCAGCCCGTTTCTATTAATAGGTAATGATAAACACGTACTGTAAACGAAAGAGTCAATCCTGTACCGAGGATAACTGACTTGTTTTTCTTCAAATCTTTCACAATAAACTCTCTTTAAGGTCTAAAGTCCATGAAGTACTTCTCCGAACAGACTTGACACGGGCTCATTTCCCTTCAACATCAAACACAATGTCAGTCTGCTGCAATTTACAAAGTCAGCACTTTGATCGCGATAATATTGACGTCCATTTGCTTTATCTTTCTACACAGTACTTAAGAGTCACTCGAAAGCACCTTATCAACAACATACTGCACTTCGCCTGCAGATAAAGTGCACCGTTGTCACGGCCAATATCCGCTCATTACATCAGACGTTTTGTCGGCCGAACCTTGTTGAACTGGTAGTGAGGTGGTTGTGTCGCTTGGTGTAACTGTGATAAAATGGCAAGCGGTTGAATCCCGTCATATCAATATTACGACAAAGAATCTAGATTATTTACATCTCATAAAAGATTCTGACACTGCCAAAACTTTATCATGTTTCACGAGCAGATAATAAATGAAAACAAACAAAACCGGAATGGTGAATAAGTACAGTAGAGCGCAAAACCTTAAATTGGATTACCTTTATATTAAATATGGCCACCAGCTATTCTTCAATGAAAATTAAGGACAATTCTGATTCATGTCAAATTATCAAGAGTGAAGATATTTAGTGTCAACGTCATCCAGATCCATTAAAAAATTGAACATGGGTTCCTTCTTGACTGATGCCTCACCTTTACACAAAGCTCAATGAAAATCTGATAAATTGTTTTTGCATCTTACCGCCTACGAACACTAAAATTCAATGAAACCTCTTTGGCGACCGTGATCACCAGCCGACTTGGGATTGTCAGCAAACACCAGTGCGTGTTTTCACGCTGACACAACAGTCTCCTTTTAAAATATGAAAAAAAAGTTTTAACAATTGCAAAAATAATGGACCGTATGTATAAATAGAAGTTCTATAGAAGTATCTATAGTTGCATTATCTCATTCCCTGAATCAGCTGCACCTGTGTGTGTGTGTGTGTGTGTGTGTGTGTGTGTGTGTGTGCGTGTGTGCGTGTGTGTGTGTGTGCAAACGAGACAGGACAAAGGGAGTGAACGGTGCAGAACAATGGTAAGGCCTTGCGGTGGAACTGGGGCGAGACAGTCTGTCTGCAGGCCTGTCGGTCGCTGAGCCCCAGGAGGAACCTCCAGCGCCACACAGGAAAAGTCTTTCTCCAGAGCTGCCTAAAACACACATTCATACACTCGCACGCACACTTACACAACGTACAAACACACATTGATAAAGACAATAGTGAACAACAGAGGCCCCCATCCTGACCAAGTCCTGGACATGTCTCTACTGTAACTCGAGGGACTCATCTCACATGAACTCAAAACACACTGTCCTAGTACACACACACACACACACACACACACACACACACACACACACACACACACACACGCATATGCACATAAAGGGGTCAGAAAATTCATGGAAGGTTTGACAGATTCAGCCTTGCTCACTGTCTGCTTACACAGCACTTATTGTCAAGGTTGAGGCCCGGATGGGGCTAATTTCTCTTTTATTGACGCTTCAAGTCAGCGGTGGAAATCAGATGTCGCGCAGCCAGTTGTGTGTCACGGCTACGAGCTACAATATCTGTTTTTTGAAAATATATATGTATGTTACAGCCATGGAAAAAGTTGAGAGACCACCAAGTTTTCTTTTCAAGAAAGTCACGCCACCATGCCTTTTTCTTTCTTTTCTTCTTTTTGAATAATGTGGACATAGGCTAGTTTACAATTCACTCTCCATGTTTAAAGAAAGAGGATGGGCCTTAAATTGCATTTTGAGGACTTCATTTCATTCTTGCCATGTATTGCACTTAAAGTTATGTTCCTGAAATCTAAATGGCTTTGTTTGACATTCTGTGTGGTTTTTTTGTATATGTGTGTGTGTGTGTGTGTGTGTGTGTGTGTGTGTGTGTGTGTGTGTGTGTGTGCGTGTGTGTGTGTGAAAATGTCTGACAAATTATTGTTGCAGCGACCGGCAGCTCGCCACCTTGCATTATTTTGCCACGGATTACGCAAGAACTCAGTGGAGAGAGCGGTAATCGACGCTGCTTTTGAAAGTGTGTCCTGTTGCCGTGGAGATACACAAACCTTCAAAGCAGAACAGAAATGGGTGAATGTCCCTGATAAGCCCCTTGGGGGGAGGGGGGGTTCAGCTGATAATGCCGTTAACAGACTATTTTCCGCGACAAAACAAATTGAAACTTTGTGAAAAGAGACAGAAGGGGGTGAAGCGAGGCAAGAACCAGGCATAGTGCACGACTCACGACAAAAGAGCTGCTTCCCGCCTGCCTATACATGATACTAAATTAACCTATTCATGGCCAACCTACTGTTATCACAGTAAAATAGCCAATTCACAGCCGGCCAAGAATTCCTCTCTCCGGCGACTGACCAATCTAAGCCATTCGCGGAAAAATAACACAAGCACGAGAGTTCCCAGTCATGGCAAAAACACCACTGCCAATTATGTTTTCTAGCATTAGGGAGGGCTTACAGTACATACACCATACACATGTAGCCATTGCAGCAATAAGTAAACACAGACTTACTGTTTACATCTCTTGTCCTGAAAATCATTAGATGAGCAGGTGTTTGTAATAATGTAGCGACAGAGCCCATGAGGTTAACAACATTTTATCACCTGTGGTGTGAAATTCCATGCGTGTTTGTACAGCTGCCAACAGTCATGCTAGCAGGATGGCTCGTTGTCGTGACGCACGGTGTGATCCGTGATGCAGAAATTGTTTGGAAAGTCTTGCTTGGGATGTGGGGAAAGTGGCATGGTCTCGTTGTGATTGGCGGACAGGTGACAGGTTAGGTACAATGCGTAACACTGACGCAAGACTAACACACACACACACACACACACACACACACACACACACACACACACACACACACGCAAAGAAGATTCCAGAGCACATTGCGTACGCAAGCAAGGACATACACAATACACTTATCCACCCCAAAAAACAATACAGCTAACTTTCAGTACTGCTCCTGCAGGAAGAACATCTGCAGAAGAACATTGGGAGACAACAAATGTGTTGAATGCCAGGAATCCATCTTGACGCTGTGGAATCGTATTCCCATCATGAGTGAATCTGGATGTGTGAAAATAAAAACAATGAGTCAGACAGGCTGGCGCGTGAGCACGACAAGTACCCTTTCTTTTTCCTGCACTCATCTTTGGAAACATTTCAACTGCTTCCTGTATGCACACAAAGCTTACATCACGATAGCCCTCTGAACTTTACTCTGAATTGTCCAGTCAGCCTGGCAGCAGCTAGGGACACGTGCAGGAGAAAATAGGGCATCGTTTTGGCTTGAATGATCAAAAGCTCTCCAGTGGAGTCAACTTCGTCAGTCAGAGCTAAGTAGGAGGGAGCTTGAGGATTACCGTGGACTCTAAATGTGACACAGCAAGTAGGCATGTAGGGCAGAGTTAGGATCTGGTTGGAATGAAGGCTCTGACGAATCATTTGACAATCATCAAAACATGAGATCAGGAAAATACTTTAACTCATCTTGGAAAAGTGCAATGTGATGTTTTAAAGCGAAGGTATATGCCAAGTGTTGGTATTTTTGCAGACGCATGCAACGCAGTTAGAAATGGGTGGTTTGCTCCGTTGTGGGTGTGTTGAAGGGGGTCGTGGCCGAGGGTTGTGGGTGTTGACATTTTACCTAGGGTACTTATCATCTCAAAACAAATTATTGTGAACATCATAACGTGATCTACTAGCTTGGCAAAAGCACGCAACCACCTTTGTTGATGGGGGCGAGGAGCCTACACCTCCAAAATGCTTGGGCCCCTCAGAAAGTCGAACCATTTCAAACCCCGTGTTTCTAGGCAGAACACTGCATCATCTTACGAACAGATTGTTCCAGTATACACGCCTACTGTAAAATGCCCTGAATTCAAGAATACTGTTATCTCAACTCAACTCAACTGTATTTGTAGAGCACTTTAAAACAACCACCGCTGTATACAAAGCGCTGTACATGGAGAAATATCACATGTACAATACTAAACACGAAAAGAATAAATTAATAACAAAGACAGTAGAAAGCACAAAAACAGTCAAACTAATAATGAAGTCTGAGTCATGCTGAGTCAAAAGCCAAAGAATACAAATGAGTTTTGAAAGAGTTTTAAAGATGGGCAGCGATGGGGCTTGCTGAATGTTCAGTGGGAGGTCATTCCGAAGAGAGGGACCAGCAACGGAAAAGGCTCGATCCCCTCTAAGCCTCCGCTTAGTTCTTGGTACCTCTTATAATGTCTGGTCCGCAGACCTGAGGCACCGGGCAGGTGTTCTAGGGCGGAGGAGCTCAGAGAGGTAAGGTGGCGCGAGGTCATTTAGAGATTTGAAAAAAGAAACAGGATTTTAAAACGAACTCTAAAATGTGTAGGGAGCCAGTGAAGGGATGCCAGAAGAGGAGTGATGTGCTCCCTCTTATGAGTACCAGTCAAGAGGTGAGCAGCGGCATTCTTTACCAACTGGAGATGCTTAATGGAGGATTGGCTGACTCCAAAGTAAAGTGCATTCCAGTAATCCAGCCGGAATGTGACGAATGCATTTTAATTAGCTGCCGAATACAACGGTACTAATTTATTAAACTAAGTGTGTTTTTGGTATTTATGTGTTTTCTGGTAAAAAATAATCAGAATGCCTAATTTCTTATTAAACAGACCTCAAAGCTCTGGCTAGTTAATTAAACAAGTTATAATTAAGTTTTATTTCTATCATTTCATGAAATCTAAATATTTTGTGGTGGGTAGCTAATGTTAACACTCCCCACATGATTTATGAAAACTCTTTAAACACGACAGGACCAGAATGATACCTGAGATGTTTTCTTCCTTTTTCTTTGCCCTGGAGCATGGCCGTGTTTCAATTCAGTTACCCAGTACACAGCAAATAGTGACATATGCTTGCGGCAGTTCCTTTTATGGCGGAATCAATGCTGACTAATCCGAAACTAGTGTACACCTCATGCTTAGTCGCGTGAGCACGACAAGTACCCTTTCTTTTTCCTGCACTCATCTTTGGAAACATTTCAACTGCTTCCTGTATGCACACAAAGCTTACATCACGATAGCCCTCTGAACTTTACTCTGAATTGTCCAGTCAGCCTGGCAGCAGCTAGGGACACGTGCAGGAGAAAATAGGGCATCGTTTTGGCTTGAATGATCAAAAGCTCTCCAGTGGAGTCAACTTCGTCAGTCAGAGCTAAGTAGGAGGGAGCTTGAGGATTACCGTGGACTCTAAATGTGACACAGCAAGTAGGCATGTAGGGCAGAGTTAGGATCTGGTTGGAATGAAGGCTCTGACGAATCATTTGACAATCATCAAAACATGAGATCAGGAAAATACTTTAACTCATCTTGGAAAAGTGCAATGTGATGTTTTAAAGCGAAGGTATATGCCAAGTGTTGGTATTTTTGCAGACGCATGCAACGCAGTTAGAAATGGGTGGTTTGCTCCGTTGTGGGTGTGTTGAAGGGGGTCGTGGCAGAGGGTTGTGGGTGTTGACATTTTACCTAGGGTACTTATCATCTTCTTCTTCTTCTCCTTTCGGCACATCCCTATTCAGGGGTCGCCACAGCGAGTCAGTAATTTCCATCCGCCCCTGTAAACCGTCCTACCAACTCGCATGGTCGTCTTGGCAAAAGTTTTACGCCGGATGCCATTCCTGACGCAACCCTCCCCATTTCTCCGGGCTTGGGACCGGCACTGGGGAACAGTGCACCCCCAGGGGTCGTGGCCGAGGGTTGTGGGTGTTGACATTTTACCTAGGGTACTTATCATCTCAAAACAAATTATTGTGAACATCATAACGTGATCTACTAGCTTGGCAAAAGCACGCAACCACCTTTGTTGATGGGGGCGAGGAGCCTACACCTCCAAAATGCTTGGGCCCCTCAGAAAGTCGAACCATTTCAAACCCCGTGTTTCTAGGCAGAACACTGCATCATCTTACGAACAGATTGTTCCAGTATACACGCCTACTGTAAAATGCCCTGAATTCAAGAATACTGTTATCTCAACTCAACTCAACTGTATTTGTAGAGCACTTTAAAACAACCACCGCTGTATACAAAGCGCTGTACATGGAGAAATATCACATGTACAATACTAAACACGAAAAGAATAAATTAATAACAAAGACAGTAGAAAGCACAAAAACAGTCAAACTAATAATGAAGTCTGAGTCATGCTGAGTCAAAAGCCAAAGAATACAAATGAGTTTTGAAAGAGTTTTAAAGATGGGCAGCGATGGGGCTTGCTGAATGTTCAGTGGGAGGTCATTCCGAAGAGAGGGACCAGCAACGGAAAAGGCTCGATCCCCTCTAAGCCTCCGCTTAGTTCTTGGTACCTCTTATAATGTCTGGTCCGCAGACCTGAGGCACCGGGCAGGTGTTCTAGGGCGGAGGAGCTCAGAGAGGTAAGGTGGCGCGAGGTCATTTAGAGATTTGAAAAAAGAAACAGGATTTTAAAACGAACTCTAAAATGTGTAGGGAGCCAGTGAAGGGATGCCAGAAGAGGAGTGATGTGCTCCCTCTTATGAGTACCAGTCAAGAGGTGAGCAGCGGCATTCTTTACCAACTGGAGATGCTTAATGGAGGATTGGCTGACTCCAAAGTAAAGTGCATTCCAGTAATCCAGCCGGAATGTGACGAATGCATTTTAATTAGCTGCCGAATACAACGGTACTAATTTATTAAACTAAGTGTGTTTTTGGTATTTATGTGTTTTCTGGTAAAAAATAATCAGAATGCCTAATTTCTTATTAAACAGACCTCAAAGCTCTGGCTAGTTAATTAAACAAGTTATAATTAAGTTTTATTTCTATCATTTCATGAAATCTAAATATTTTGTGGTGGGTAGCTAATGTTAACACTCCCCACATGATTTATGAAAACTCTTTAAACACGACAGGACCAGAATGATACCTGAGATGTTTTCTTCCTTTTTCTTTGCCCTGGAGCATGGCCGTGTTTCAATTCAGTTACCCAGTACACAGCAAATAGTGACATATGCTTGCGGCAGTTCCTTTTATGGCGGAATCAATGCTGACTAATCCGAAACTAGTGTACACCTCATGCTTAGTTCCTCATATCAAATGTTGGTTTGAACCAGTCTGCGCTGGAAACAAGTTGTGTACCACTCCCTGTACAAGTCACTGATCGAGTGCCTCTCTGCGTCACTCTCTTCTTCAAAACACACACACACACACACACACACACACACACACACACACACGCACATACACGCACCCAAAGAATGCAAACAGGTCTCATGGTAATTTTTCAAACATGGATTACTTCACTTTGATAGAGAAAAAAATCTTGACGAAGATGCATTTGTGGCCCTGCTGTTTTGAAGATTTAAATAAATACAGCATAAGAGTTATGAGTAGTAATGTGTCTCTAAAGAGAATGTGTTTAAATGAAGTCTTGAACTGCGTTCAGCAGTACACGAGGTTAACTTTAACCTGTCCAGACAGGAGTCTTCAAAACTGTTCCTCGAGTGCCGCTGTGCTGCTTATTTTCCGTCTTTCCCTACTATGACAACGCAGATCCCTGATCCAAACCGCCAAGAAATTGACAAAATATGTACATATATTAAGAATTACATTGTTTGCATTATGCAGTGAAGGTATTTCACACAAGTTTGTTTTATTAATTCTTGTTATTATTATTATGCACCAACAATTTCATCTCAGAGTCCATTTAAATCGTGTTGCACATAAACCTTTGTTGCAGTTTGCATTTCACATCTCCGTAGTTCCGTTGACGCCTTTCCCTCCCACGCCCCGCACCTTTACCCTCTCTCTTCCTTGAACAGTCATCCAGGTCCGAAGGCTGTCTGCCACAGTGTCTGTTGACATGAAAGTGTTTGCCGTTCTTAAGGCTGATGAAAGGCAGGAAAAAGGTGGGAGAGCACTTGGCCGAGACCAGCCCGGCACACGGCAGCCAACACCGCCTTGACAATTGGCTTGAATATTTAGCTTTCTTTTCCTGAACAATTGGATGGCAATAAAAGGGTATGTGGGGGATTTTTTAAAAAAAACAAACATCTGTTTAGAGATACATGGGCCCAAAAAATGAAACAGCAGAGAGCTATAAGTGCAAAAATATAGTTGACATGATTAACACTGTCTTAGAATGATAACGTGTAAGGTGATTGAAATGTGGTCCCAGTGACCTCAGCTGAGGACTTATAACAACCATGATGCGTGCAGCGGTTCATTTAACTGTTCGATAAATTGTACACAATAGAGTCAAATGACGATCTGTCGCTTATAAAGCACTTTTCTACCTCGGGTCCTTAAAGCGCTTTCCACTGTTACCTCAGTCACTTACTGATGACGCGGCATCAGGAGCAACTGAGGGGTTCAGTACCTTGCTCAAGGACACTTCAACACGGTCACAATGGCCAGGGATCAAACCACCCACCTCTGGGTTGGGAATCGACCTCTGTACCACTGAGTCATGCCACCCCCAATCTATTTTAAACAGCAATGTATCTATAATTTTGTTGTTGTTCATAAATACGGTTTGCCTTGCATCGTTTCCACATACAGTAAGTCATCTGTGACAGTGATGTGTCATAGAAGAGATAAGACTGTCGCTGATGACTTCCCCCCTGAGCTGTGTTTCAGCCCAGCACTCTCCAGCAAACTGTATGTCCCCGCACGTGAGAGACACACCAGTGCGGTGGCGTCATGTGGGACAACCCAAAGAACTGGTTTGAGCCGGTAGAGTGACTGTCAAAGCAAGCAGATTAGGAGACAGCCACTCAAACCATCTTTATGTCAGCTGCAAAGCCTGCTGTAGGTGCACCGTACCTACTGATGAAAAGCTATAACACCCACCAAAAACATCCGAGGTAGCAGTAAATGTACAATAAGCTCGCAGTATCGAAAAGTCATTTCTGATTCTGTTGAGAGAGATAAATCAGAAGGTAAACAAGCAAAGCACGGACATGTCTAAAGCCTGTAATGCCACTTTAGCAGGTTCTTATCTCGAGAGGAGGGATGATTAAAAAGACTCCAGCACAAACACACAGCGCAGAGGAATCGCTCTCACCCTCCCCAGCCTGATCTGAACTGGTTCTCGCCGGTCTGATGTAGCGCGTGGCTGTTTGAGGGAAACCCAGGGAGGCTTAATTACATCCTTCTCTGAGTAATGTTCACCCTCCAATGGGCCTGTCTCATCAGAACAAAGAGCAGAATGCAAACAAGAAATGTGCCAACCACGCACTTTATGAAGAAAGAAATTTGGGCTTGGTGACATGACTCAACATTAACTATCAACTAATATTCGCCCTAAGCTCTGAGAGACATGCCTCATCATCAAGCAGTCGTCTGACTTACACGTTTAAATGATGATGAGTAACAAATACTGTCAATAGTTTATAGGAAGAACGTGGGAACAGATATTCTATTTGAATTCAATTCGGAGTCATCGTGATGCCCCTTTTGCATATATTTTGCCTTAATTTCTCACAATTTAAAAAATATATTTTTAAAATATTGTTTTTTCGACTTGCTAAGCTATAATTATTTTCTACCATTATTGTTGCTTTAGGGGTACAATGACTGCACCTTTTCCTCACTGCAGCTGTCTCCTACTTATCATGCTTATAGTTTAGAATACAAGGTACGGTTGTACCTTTTTGGCCATTAAAGTTACCTTGAAGCACAGCAGTTATTCTTGTTTTGCATATCAATTGTATCTAAAACACCACCAGGTATCCTTGATGTGTGAGTCCAAATTGCTGGTTGACAATACAATACACGGGACAAAGCAGAGATTAACTTTTGTAAACAAAGCAATTTATTAAAAGGGATAAGGAATGGGACACAGCATTCATGAAAAACATTGTGCTCTCAGACATAAGAGTCACATTCGGAGCCACGTCAGTGACAGTGTTCATCTTGGAAGTAGGCATGTGTTCAGGACAGGCATCCATGAAGGTTCTTCTTGTGGCACGAAAAGTCTCACCAGCACCTCCTTTGTGTGCTGCTTCTTCACAGTGGAGCATCCGCATGGCTGAATTCAAGTCTCAGGGAAGTCGTTTTATGTCCACCGTTGCTCCCGTCATCTTATGTGCTTCCATCTGGTCACGGCGGGACTCGCCATCACCTCCGACGCTGCAACGTGATCTCGCCGGCGGCCTTTTGCAAGCCCATCATCGTCCCAGGCGAGCCGCCGCACTTGCAGTAGTCGGCGTTCGAGTCCCATCAGGAGCGTTGTCGCGCGTGTTTCGGGCTCCGAGTCGAGCCGAGTGAAAGACGACCCAGGCGGCCATAACAGTGCCGTCAGCGGAGTTTGAGCATTTGCCGGAGCATGCCCGCGATCTGGAGGAACTTGTCCTTCTTCCTCTGCTTCAGAGCCATCAGCGCCCGCGCCGTCTCCTCCGGGTCGTGCGAGTAGGAGAAGATGCTCCTCACCCGCTCCTCTGCTTTCATGTCGCCCGTCTTCTGGAAGAGTCTGGTCAGGGCGTCTTGGCTCACGTTGTCGAAAATGTTGGCCACGGCTTTCTTGCGGTGGGCCGTGTCAAACTTGTTGCCGTGGACGCAAGGGCTGACACGGCGGCAGTCTGAAGACACGTACGCGGACATGTCGTCTCTCGGTTGGCGTGGCTCTAAGGCGGAGAGAGGCTAGTCGCACTCTTGCGTGGCTTGTGAGGCTGAGTGAGCGCTGGAGAGCTGAGCCTGCGCGTATTTATGCTGCTGCTGTGGGAGGATCCCTCCGCCAGCCAGCGATGACATCAGCCGTCGTGAAGCAGAGAAAGGAGGACGTTTTACCTCCAGTCAACGGCAGACGTCAACACGCTGCTGCTCGTTGTTGTTTTTGTTCAACAAAGGAACAGGCGAGCGTGATGAAACTTAACTCGTGCCTAATAACCTCATTTTCACTTCATTTTAGATGAATTGAAGGGCAATTAGGCACCAACATTAAAAATATAGATTTATTTTATGACGAGTTTAGGTGATAAACCATCGGGTTGTCTACTCTAGCTCAACGGTGTACTTTCACTTTGGATGGGATTGTCAGACTACACTGTGTATTGCTGACCTTAGTGCAGCATTGTTACATTTACTCAGAAAATCTCTAATTTTGATCAATAAATCTTTCCCACTTTAAAAAGAAGAAGAAAGTTACACGTTATTTATTTCATAATTTGATTGCAGTGTTTGGTTAGTTGAGTAACACGGTTGTGTGTATGTTAAGAGACACAACTTCAGAGCTGAAACCTGTGACAGTAACATCGCATGCTTAGAAAGTTGGAAAACTTGTTCAGGAATCTCAAAATGTTATAATTACAATAAAATGAAAGAACACACATCACACATGCAATACACTGTATACAGTATAATACAATCAAATGAAAATCAACTGATCGTATTCCACAGGGTAAACGAGTTAATGCGAGCCATCATGAACCAAGAATTCATTTACATACGTTTGCGGAGAGCTCAGTTTAAAAATATGTCTAGTTAATTGCAAGCCATCATGAACCAAGAATTCGTGTGCATACGTTTGCGGAGAGCTCAGTTTAAAAATATGTCTTTTACAAAGATGGCAATGTTCTGTTTAAGGAATTTAGAAACTCAACTACTGTATGTCAGAATCATTATCATTGTTATGGTTGATGTTTTACAGCAGGGTAGAACTGCAGTGTAACATACTAAGAGTTAACTTTCCCCCATAGCGCGTAAAAGGTATTTGAGGTGACAAAATAGTTTAGTGTTCAGTGTAGAAATGTACTACATCATACTCAGAGTTGTTTGTAATATCTTGCGGCTTTTGCATATCTTGAATAGCTCACTTTTATAAATACCAAAAAACAGCTGTTAGTTTGATGCAGTGAAGTTCTGCGTTGCTGAAAACCAAAACTTTATGATCATGTGACTATGAAGGTATTGTGAAAATAATACTGCTCTGGCTGTCTCAATTGACCCACTAGAAATGTGTCAAAATACGAAAGTTGCGCTTTTACACCGCTGTTAACGCAGGGCAACAGTACTATAAATAAATTTTGAATTCATATTTATTGACAGATGGCAGAATTTCTTCTCTTGGACCTTGTGTAGGTGCACTTACTAATTCAATAATAAGACATATACCAGGCGGATGTTAATTATTTTTGGCTTTTTGTTTGTTAGTTTTGATTCACAGATTTACAGTATTTTTACTTTATGGAATTCTATTCATTATACTGCAATTTCAAAAGTGCACATTTTGGTGGTATTAAATAGTGTAGTTATACTGTAAATTATTTCTTTTAAAATTTGTGCCATCTTTATAATGGTACTATTTGCTCGTCTTTCCATGTTGTTGTAGCCAGTGAAGAGGATGTTTAACTCGCAGGAAGAGCTACACAATGTCATTTTTCTGTGTGTGTGTGTGTGTGTGGTATTGTGTGCATTGTTGTTATTGTGTCCTCAAGACAACATTTTAAGGAGGATAAAAATCAAACATGTATAAAAAATATGTCATATGCACTCTACACACAATTATTACTGAAAGTGTGTTGATTTATTTATGTGGGTTCCCAAAAATTGACACTCTAGATTGAATCAGCATTTTCTGGACTATTTCTGGAAAAAAAATATTGGGATTGCAACTTATTTTCTTCAAATGGGAGGGTCTTGAGTTGTATTTACTTCCAACCTTAACTTGAGGCCATTTGCTGTCTGGTTGACCTTATCTGGTAAACTACAGAGGACCTGTCAGTGGCAAATCTGGAACAAAACCGTTGGGTATTAGGCTAAATGTTTGTTTCATTTTTTTGAAATGCAATCACTCTTTGCCCTCTCACATCCTGAGTGCCTTATAAGGAAAAAGAAAGTCCTCCATGCCAATGGTGATAAGTGACTCAGGAAGTATATTTTTTCCTGTGAGTGCAGCCCAGTGAAGGTCATACGCAGTATGCCCGGCATGTGGCATTGACTGCTTGGTGGAACAATGAGCCAGGAATCCTTGCTGGGTTTCAAGTGAACTTGGATCCAGCTCTTCCTGGCAAGCATAATTTCCAAGTCTGTGTGAACAATGCGTCGCCACAGGATATCTGACTGTCTACAGGTGGCATGGCTGGAGACATGAAATGTCAATGCACTTCAAAAAAAAAAAAAAAAAGTGTTGGCTGCATATTTATGACCACTAAGCTGTCCCCGGGCGCGCAAGGCACGAGCGTTGCACAATGACACTTGAGTGGGAGGACGGAAGCCAGAGCCTTGAGATGTCGACCCTATTCTCCTGCAGACACCAAGCGTTCGCTCTTAATCTTAACAAAAGTGTCACAAAATTTAAACAAGGACTGAGGCTGTGTCCATTTTTGTCCCCTCGGAGGCAGATTCTCAGGAGAGAGGAGATTCACTCCCTTGTGTAGAGATCAAAACCTCCTCTGCATTGGTTTAAATTTAGCTGATATGGCCTAAACAACACTGAGAGATGTACCGACAATAGAGTTAGGGTGACTGATAAAAGCTTACTCACCCAGTTTCAGCAGTTCAACGTAGTTTGATGATTGTTTCCCCTCTAATGACATTGCTTTTTCTTGAGGTTTTTATTGATGTACTTTAATGCTGACTTAATGTCCCTTGATTCCATGCAAAGTAGAATCTAGACTTAGAACATCTTCATTTGATAAGAAGTACAGCAGATTTCGATGCTCTGAATGGACTATGAGACATGACCCTGCAGTTGGACAAGCAACAGAAATCTTATCTAACACAGCAATTATGAACGTTTTTATAGTTTGCAGTGTTTGATGAGGTGCACAGTTCATTCAACCCAGTGCTCCAAATGAGACAGACAGACAGACCGATTGATTAAAAAAAAAAAAAAAAAAAATCGATGTTCGTAGCTTGACCTGCCCTTTGACAGAAGCACAGGCGAATGCACCTCATTTTCAAACTAAAACTTCTTTCTGACTTTGATGATCAACAAAATATTTTTCATTCTGTCACCCAGAGCGGTTAGGTACCAAATGGCCTTGGGGCCCGTGCTTGAGGACACCAGTCCTAACTATTGTCGCCTTTTGCCACCACCATTTGTTGAACATTGTGATTGTGGAGGAAACCTTGAGCTAATTTTAGAAAGAGAAGAGTATAGATCTTGCAACATGGATACAAGATTTCAGTCAACAAGGTTTTTCTTATACACATACTGCATCAACATTTATTGCTCACACTCACACTTACGGACAATTTAGGGTGTTCAATCAGCCTTGTCATGCATGTTTTTGGAATGTGGGAGGAAACCATAGTACCCGGAGAAAACCCACGCAGGCCCAGGGAGAACATGCAAACTCCACACAGGGAGGCCGGAGCTGGAATTGAACCAGGTACCTCTGCACTGTGAGGTCAACGTGTTAACCACCGGACCATAAACATGTATTAATTAATTAATTAATTAATTTTATGAAAGCATTTCTCCGTTATGTTTAAGAAAACTTGAAAGAAAAAGATTTAGTAACGATGCATACAACCTACAAAACAGAAAGAGAAGCAGCGCTGAGATAAACATAAACATGTAATAATGTAGTTTACAATCATTACCCCACATCCCGCTTTTATGCTTGACTGTTCAAAGGATGTAAACATTGCTGAACACAAAACGCATTTCAAGATAAGATGCTGTATTAGAAAAGGGCGGTTTGTGCCATTGTGGGTGTGAACACAGTTGACTTGATTCGCCACCAAACAAAGCGGCTCCTCACATTCCCTTTAAATGAAGTGCAATGGCAATGCGGCTAAGGACGCAGCAATCCGTGCACGCCTGGAGCATTGTCACTGCTCTTGGCCTGGAGGGGTTGGGGGGGGAGGGCATTCAGACAACATAGAGTAGGAGGGGAGTCTCATTAAGGTTCGCGCTCAAGTCAATTCCTTCTGCGCCGTCCTTATGCACTTTCAAGGCACGGCGATTCTGTTGTCTTGACCGCCGACACACCCGCCGGTGAAAAGTCGTGCAACCATCAAAGAGGTGTGACCCATTAAGGTCTCAGGATGCCCCAAGCCCCGCATTGTGGCGTTTTCCTGAGACGAGATTTCCGAAAATGGCACGTTTTGGCTTGTTGTAATGTTTTTTTTCTCTGCCCACAGTCTGCCTTGGTTTATTGATGGGCGGACTCCCCCAGCCGCACCTGCCTGCAATCTGGCACAGTATTTAGGTGCGGCTCCTTTGGAAGGAAGGTGCTTCGCACGTGTAAGTTATCTTCTTGCCGACTCCAAGGCTACTTAAGGTTTGTTTCCGTATTCCAGTGCCATTTGTGCTTCTGTTTGCTTGAGACGAGGTGTTCCAGAAGTACTTAAGTGTGTGTCTAAGTGCTTCTGTTTTCTCTTTCCGTTTTGTGTAGATTGATGCTATTTGGCTTGTTTATGTACTGTACTTCCTTCCACTGAGGGTCTTGTCCAGCTTTGTTTTTCCTCTTCACTTGCAGTTTTCTGTGACGACAAGTTGTTTTTTTGTTGTTTTGGGTTTTTTTTTTTGCATTATCGTTGTTCTGTTGCGTCTCCCAAATATAGCTTGTGTTTGAATAAAGACTGTGTTACTGTTCTAACCTTCTTTCTATCTGGACCGTGCCCATCATAACAATTGAGATCCAATTTGAATATATCCATGCACGGCGCTACACTGGGGAGGGGGGGCTATAGTCCCATCAGAAATCTGTCTATATATATATATTGTTCCCATGTTTGTGTTGCAAC